TCGATGGCATCATGAATGAATTTGGAGAAAACCACAGAGGAAGGATGAATTCGGAGGCTGAAGGTCTGGAATCATGAACAATAAGGGAAGAGAAGTGTGGAACCATGATTTTGAATCTCTCCTTCCCCTTTCTTCTCCATTGGCTCCAAGAGCTTGTGGTCACCGATCGGAAGATGCCGCCGCCATCATCGCTGCTCCAGCTCGTCGTCCGCATGAGATCCCATGGATCTGTCAACCCCGTCATCACTGTAGCTCTAGCTCTGTTCAAATCTCGTCCGTTCCGTGCAGAAGCCGACGGTGTGCTCCAGCCTGCTGGCTGCACGAAGTCGCCAACTGTCCGCTAATGCTTGCCATCCGCCCGCCACTGATTCTTGAGGCCTGGATCTGTTCGTGCTTCCTTTCTCTTCTTCCCACTAGGTCTCTTCTTCCATAGCTGGTGAGTTAATTTTTTTTAATATGTAATTTATACATGATAGATCTATATTCAAGTAACCGAGGAGCTACTATCATGATTAAGTTGCACCAACATAATATTAATTAGACTTCATTTTTTTCTATTTTAAACGAAAGAAACATGTGTCAACAAAAGTTTGAAATTATCTAGTTGTAGTGCTGTAGAGTTTGTGAATCGTGATGATGGAACTTGGGACCCTCTCTTTGTCAACTTGAGAAGATCTAAAAGCTATGCCATAAAATGGGCCAGGTATTTCCTTGGGAATTTTGGTTTATTTTAATTAGTAGTCACTAACGATTAGTTATATTATTTTGAAAACAAAAGGAATTATACCTAGAACGTAACCTCTCAATCTAGTCAAGCATCTTATAGGAAAGAGAATAATTATACTACTTAATCCTTATAAATGTAGGAAACATTACAATAATATTTAATTTATGTTTTCTTTGTTCTTAGCCTTTTTTATTGAAATAATTTCTTTGTTGCACAGTAATAATAATTTCTTTGCAAGTTTTTTGGGAAATTTCTGGTGCACCACCTTTTGTGAACTGCAGGAGGGCTTCCTTCTAGTTGTTTAGTTCAAGACATGCCTAATGGTTACTCCAAGGTAATTGCCAAACTTCTGGTTGCTTTGGTTTTGTTACTCCAAGATAAGTTGAACTTGAAGGCTAACCAAGATCAATATACATGTTTCCAGATCTTTTGTCTTTTCTTTTCTCTATGTTTTTTTTTTTTCTATTTTTGTTTGTGTTCTATTTCATTTGCTTTTTTTTTTGTTTGCTTTATTTGACCCATCTTCCTCTGTCATCTGCTTTAAAATTTTATCTTGTGACTCCTCTGTATTTTTAATATTGATTTTTGTTGCTTAAAAAAAAATAGATGAAGTTACTTGTGCATGTACATGTTTGAGTGTCTATGCAAATCATCATCAATAATTAATATCGCAAAATGTAAAATATAAAATTAATAGGAAGTAACTTCGAGGCTCACTTCTCAAACATTTTAATAGGTGGAGTATAATATAATGTAAAAAGAATCCATCCACCGAATTAAAATAAAAAAAATATTTTCAGAAATAAGAGTGAGAATTGACCTTTAACATGATTGATATTCACATCATTTGTATTAGTATTAATCCAAGTTACAAGTTCGCGTGGGTGAAGAACGTTCACAAGATTGAATACTTCCCAATTCACTAGCTTGTGTAGTGACTACTTTCTATATCTATGCTAATGAACATGTTTAATCAATATTTTTCAACTTTACCGTTATGTTATAAGCATTATGGTAAATTATGTTGCTTCTTAGAGACCCTGATATATAAACTCTTAATTTCATGTTATTGTTGTCATTTTCTAAATGAATGTGTAACATTTGTAATTTTATACCATATTTCTTGGTCTTATTTAATCTAAAAGGATTCCTTATTGATTGCTATAGGTGGATAATGAAGCTATAGTTCTTGAACAAACATGTATGGGAAGTGACATTGAACATATGAGTTTATTCATAATTAATATGATATTTATGATTTAACTAAATTATTTTTCTTTATTTTTTGCAAATAGAATGTGGATGAGTACTTTACAACCAATTGAGAATAGTGTTAGATGAATTTATTTGTACCATTTAAGCATGGGAGTATTGGAAATGTTTTTAAATTCTTAAATTGTAATTTACATTATAATCAATCATGCATGTTATAGTATTAATAATTAGTTAGTTGAACTATTATATGTAGTGGAATTGCTTGTATACTTTTATTAAATATATAATTTTTTTTGGTATATTGATCATGATATTTACAATATTTGCAGAGAATAAAAAATAAATTTAATTTAAAAAGACTAGCAAAAGCATTTTTTAAAATTAAAGCTCATATAGGTATCTCTTACGAGAGCGTTTATGAATAAAAGTTTTTGTAAAGAGGACTATGGAGCTTTTCTTTTTAAAAAAGCTCCAGTCGGTTGGCTTCAAGAACTTTTATTTTTAAAAAAGCTCTTATAAGGGTTTATAGGAGCTTTTCTTTCAAAAAAAAAAAATTCTTGTAGGTTTTTCTTATGAGAGTGGTAGGTCTTTCTTATGAGAGTGTTTTTCAAACGTTCGGGAAGCACTAAAAAAATGCTGCTCTAAAAACTGTTTTTTATTGTATTGAAGGAATCAGTTTTTTAAGGAGGGGGGGGGGGGGGAAGAACTTTTCGAATTGTTGTTATACCTGCATCAACCTATTTTCTTGACGTGTATTTTTTGCCAACCATTAACTTTCCTATACGCATAGTTTACGAAAAGCCTTTCATATCAAGCATCTTCCTAATCACTTAAATCAAATAGCATCCTCCAGTATTGAGGATTAATTTCATAAAATTATAAGTAACTTCGATCTTTCAAAAGCTTATGTGCAAACTCACTAATAATTCGAGATATATTCCCTAAAGCTTCACTTTTTTTTTTTCACTTTATCACCTAGATTACATACATGATACAACCCTCATATGGGCTGAACATCCCCTCTCTCTCTCTCTTAAATGAGGTGAACACCTAAATATTTACTCAATTGCTTCTCACAAATTCTTACACATCTATAAAGTGATGGCAGTAGTTACGTTGTCATAATTTTAGTTCAAGTTGTGCCTGAGGATATAAGAGTTATTCCACCATGCACAAATGAATACAACAATTATTTGAAATTAAATGAAGTCTTCACGTAGGAAAAATTGGGAGTAGAATAGTAGAGAGAACTTAAAAACTTAGAAGTGATGTATTTGAACTCACAACCAGCATGGCCTTATATAGGTTGATCTTACAAATGAACGTTGGCCATGTTTAAGGACAATTAAATCATTGGTTTAGCATCTTAGTGACATTAAATTAAATTGATTTTTGAATGTTGAAATACTAAACGTGATTAATAAAAATATATTTTTAAACATTCAGTTTAAATATGGTTAACGATAGTTAATGAGATGCTCAAATGGATTGAAGGATTTAAATAAATTCCCATCATTTCAAGCCTTCCAAATTAAAAATTGAAGGATTTTCTAGAAGGCTAATTTTTAAAAATAAATTATTTTGTAATTTCAAAATAATTTTTACACATTTCAAGAGAATTGGCCCATTGTTAGGTGCATGAGTCCACTTTTCTTATTGACAATTTTATTTACCCATGTTATCTTAATATATATACATTAGGCTCCATTTATCTTAAGTATAATGTGAGACCTTTTTTGACATACAAATATATTTACAACAATCTTCTTCATAAGTCAAAAGAACATGATCATTGACTTACAATTATTAATATACGCAAAGATGTTAGTGAAACATTCCTTTATCAACATAGTCAATTATAAGTTGTTTTGATGTAAAATTTTTATCATTAAAATTAAATAATTAAAAATTAATTACTACTTTTCTTTTTTTTTAAAAAAAAGACTGTTTTTCTTGGGAAAGTGAATAGAAAATTACAAGTTACTATATTCAATTTTTTTTAATGAGAAGTTCAACAATTAAAAATCATTCACTATTTTTTTAGAAAATGATTACTTTTCTTAAAAAAAATGACAAGAATGGAATGTAAATTACAAGTTGCTCTATAAAAATATTTTATCCTTAAAGTTGAACGAATAATTAGTTACTACTTTCTTGTAGGAAAAAGCTAGTTTTTTTGGGAGAATCGACTAAAACAGAAGAACAAATTTTAAGTTTTGATGGTCAATTTTTTTTAATTTTTTACTCTTTTAATTAAAAAATATAAAGTATTTTTTTCTCCAAATCTTACCCCCTAACAAAATATTTATTTACTTTTAAACTAACTTTATCTTTTTATATTTACCCATATTAAATACTTTACAATAAATATAAAGTCATTCATCAACAGGGGTATTTTTTTAAAAAAATAATGATTATATCTCAAAAGACTAAAAATATCTAATATTTTTAATATTAAACTCCTCAAAAAATACTTTATATTTTTGAACGAAAAAATAGAAGATAAAAAGGGTTTTCACATTAAAATTAATTGATAGACAATTCTTTAAGAATTAAAAAATAATTTTGATATTTCATGATATCAAATTATCATTTGAATATTTTAAAAATATATTTTTAATCATTTTTTCTAATTAACTGTCATTTTTTTAATCACACAAGCTATTCAATTTCTTTTAGGACATAACATTGTCCTAAATTCTAAATAAGGACCTCAAAAAAGTTAATATTAAATTAATTTTTTTAACATTAACATTTTTAAATTCTCTACTCCTTCTTTTATGTTTTAATATTGAAATTCTTAATTTAATATTAAGCTTCTCACCTGTTGCTTACTTGTTTTGGCACATGGTAATCGTTGCTGGCTAATCCCAAATTCTCCTTGCTGCCAGCGGTTGCGTTTTTTTCTTACCACTCACCGGCTTCTAGAAAGAAAAAATGTAGAAGGACTAAAATGCCCTCACGTTTCTTCATCCTCACCATATCATGTGAATTTGGTGGAGAGTATTATGGTCATATCGTAGGTACCCCTACCCTACATTTAGCTGGGCGAGAAAACTGTACAGCCTCCTTCAGCCACCTGCCGACCATCAAATCCATATCAAACTGGATCAGAAATTGACATTTCGAATTTTACAGGTGCATCGTCCTTTTCCTTCCCCTAGTTTTTTGCACTATTTTCCATATTTTCGCCGAGGCATCGTCCTTGTCCTTCAAGTCCCATATTTGTTACAAAATCCTACTTTGAAGAACCTTTCCTTGCAGTCTCTCTATCGTCATTGTTCTTTGCTCCAACGTGGGCAACGGACGAAATGGTACTGCCCAATTATCTCCTTTTCAAAATTTGGCTTTAATTCCATGTTTCATGTGCTAGTTTTCTGATTCTGGATGTGATACCGTTCTTGGTTTGTGGTTTTGAATTTTGCCAAATGCATTGCTTGTTAAGGCAAAGTCCTTACTGGGATTTGTCTCTGGCTTGGATGTGCTGGGCCAAAAATTTTTTTTTTTAAATAAAAAATATTTCTGTGCGTGCTCGCTCGCTCTGTCGTTTTAACTATTTTGTAGATACGGTTTTGTTATCTTTATCATGCACTTGAATCCGACAGAAGTGTTGAAATTGCTTGCAATGAAAGTTGAAAATTAGTTTGCAGGTCATTAGCCAAAATATGAGTCTTTGAACTGTCCAGCATTCTTCTGCCTTTTCGTTTGAGTGAAAGCTATGTTAAGTGTTTTAAATGAGAATGATATAAAATCCAGTACGGAAATTAGTATTCTTATCTTTCAGAATTTAATCCCAGATCTGGACGGAGAATAAGTTATGACTAATTTTTCCTGCACTAATAAATGAAAATGAAGAATTCATGTTTTATCTTCTGATCAATATTTAACCAGAGTCTGTATCTGATATCATACTTCATAACGTTTTCAAAAGTATTAGGACCTCTCTAATTAATAGCTTTGGGTTTTTAGTCAATGCTTTAAGAATAAGGATTTATCTGGTCTATGGTTTCTGTTATTCCAACTCAAGTTAAACTTGATTTGGATGAGAACAGCATCAAGTTTCTTGTTTAGTATTAGCCTTTAGGTAAGGGGGATCAGTGACGGAATATGTTTTACTATATTTGGGTTTCTTTTATAGTTCGAACTGGTGTTCTTTTAGCTGAAATAAAGCAGGAAATATGTTACCAAATGCATTCTGGTAGCCTAGAGTTTGAGGTGAACCTCTCTATTCGTCTATTCAGTCATTTCAGTTTCAATCATTGGCTGCAAAGGGAAGCTTTAAGTTCGTTAGTATTCTGTGAAAGATGATGTCATGTGCTGGTTTCCTCGCAAATGTGAGCTGTGTGACATCTTGTAGAGAGAAGACTGAAGAATATGCAACTTGTCCTTTGCCAAAAAAGCATTGCTATATTTTCTATTTCAGTGTATAAAAGGTTTCTGTACAGGAAGGCTCTTGCCTTCAATTTTGTGGTAAAAATGTAAAGTCAGACCATAAATTTAAGATGAATTATACTGCATTACCAAAAGCGTATAACGTGAAAAACCAGTGTAAAAGGAAAATTTGTGCTACTAAGTGGTGATGTTAGCATATCATTTATTTTTCCTACGTTTTTCCTGTGGTATGCACCTCGGTATTCTTTTTTGTTATTTAATTACTGTAGCATGGCAAACAGAAAGGAACTTCGCTAATATTTTGTTTTATTTCTCTCTTCCCTTTTTTCCCGTTTCCTCATAATTATTTTATCATGCAGTTGATATAATTGTTGGGGAGCATCAGTTCTTTTCAAATACTGTGGCATATCAAGTAGAAAACTATTAGGAAGCTTGGAGGTCACTCTAGAAGGAATAATAACTAAATGTTATTATTTTGCAACTGCGGTCTGGAATGATCATTTAATTTGGATGTGATGGAAGTCAGTGCAGTAAGTTCCCATTCCAATGGGTTGCAAACCTTGAAGCATTCAACACCGGCAGATGATGGGAAAATGCCTAGTGAAAAGGGATATAGAAGTACTCATACCAATGGGAAGCCAAATTTGATGAATACTTCCACTTATGTTAATCATGGTGGGATTATCACTAGAATTTACAAAATCAGATAGACCCATGTTTTCTTCCCTTTAAAGCATGTTATTATGTCTTTGTAACTAGGCTATTGTACAAAAATCAATAAACTCAGCTAATTGGTGTTTGTCTCTATTGATGCTGATTATAAGGATGACTCAAGTATATCTGTAGAAATTGGGAAGACTTTGGTCTAGGGACAGTATTGATTAGCATCCTTCTTATATAGGGAGGTTGTAGAAGAACCAATGTTTAGCTGTTGCGAAAAACAATCTATAAAATTTCTTGTGAAATGATTGGGGAAAAAACATCAGAAGTCCTTGATTGAGGTGTTGCCGGGAGGATTTTGTGCCGAGAAAATAGCCAATAATTTGATAGCTCACATGGAACCAACCCTAGTCTTTTTTATTGAGGTGATCTTGATTTTTAGTGGGCTTACATCCTATCCCTTACCTTTACACAAACTCCATGGTAAATAACTTCCTATAAAGTAAAAATAAAAAAAATAAAACAATGCTTATAAAGACTCTCAATGGGGAGCTTTGGGACAGCTGACAAGTCGGTTTCTAGGAACCTGCTTCTGTTTTTCTGTTGTGTGGTTTGTCAAACAGGAAATATAAATTCTACGTTTTTGTTATACAAATTTTATGAGCACGCTATCTCTGGTGTTTGATTTTCCTTACCAATTTCTTTGAATTTATTTTGTATCATATAATTGCTTGTTGAAAATTGAGACATGAAACTATGGGCTCTGGGAAACTGTAGTCTATCTCTCTCTCTCTCCCTGGCCTTTAAAATATATGATAAAAATAGAACATGCTTTTTAGGCATTTAAATCAATTGAAAAGATATGCAAGTGGGTTCAAGTTAAAATATGGAGTCCATAGTGTACCTACTGGTATTTATAACCTAGAATTAAGTTTTGTGCTCAGTCAATGTGATACTTTAGGATATTTAAATCTGAGTATTGCAAAGCAATCATGCTGGTCATTATGAGTTCAATGGCCATCTGACCTAGAGACAATAGCTTTGAATTGTTAACTCCCTTGGAAGTAACCAATAGATTGAAAGAAAGGATAAACTCATAGTCATAATTTTTTTTTTCATTTTTCTAATTTCAATTCTTTTAAGTTCTTGTTCTTTATGACCTAATATGAACAATATACTATGCAGCTGCAATTGCATGGTATGAGGAGAGAAGAAAGTGGGTTGGAGATAAGTCTCAACATCCACCAAGAATGCCTAAAGATTCAGTTATTAGGTAACTCTTCCCTATCGAAGGAACTGAATTTGTGAACCCATTTGTAATATCTGAGGATATCTTGTTCTCTTGCCTAAATAGGTAAATCCAGTAACTGCCGCACAGCCAATGGGAATGAAACTGTTTCATCTGTTAATGATGTATACCTAGAATAGATCATCTCCAATCAGCTTAACTGTAGCCCTTAGGGCAAGGTGATTGCTTATATAACCATAACATGAAAATTAGTGACATGCTCAACTGTTAGGCCATGGCATATTCACGCAGTAACACCAGAATACGGAAAGGAGAAGCAGAAGGTGTGAAAAACTTGGGTTTTGTATTGATCATTCAAAAGATACACTGTATCGGCTTCTTCAGTGACTGTTCTCAGCCAAAACCCAGTACCCAAATAAAACAGCTTAGCGAAACAGACCCAAAACTAGTAGCTGGCTTTTGATAGGCCAGTCCTCGTTTTACTTTTTGATTTTCGGTTCAAAAGTGCCCTGTAACTGGAGCTCAGTTCTCTCGAAAGGATATTATCAACTGCTCCTCAACCATCATCCCCTTACCATGGCGGAGCAAATCTTTCTTCATGTCCTCTTCCCTCGTTGTCTCTTGACTCTCATCCTTTCTCATCTCTTCGGTCTGTTATTGCTTCCAGTGTCAGTGGTTTTATCCCTTCCACAGGTGTCACCTCCTTTAGGGCGTCTGTTATAGTTTTTTGGGGTGGTTGTATGTTGATCCTGTGGGGTAATTCCATCACGAAGAAAAGAATCGTCTTAGTTTTATCTAGCATTATGGGTTCTAATCCTTAGTTATACGATCTTGTTTTCCTTAATCCATAGGTAACTCCTTTTTTTTTTTTTTTAATCCTTCCCTGTCAGCAGTGCATTCTCTAGCACTGAAATTGTTTACATTGGTTACTTGTGGGTAATTTTCTCTTGTTTTTTTCTTTAAAATACAAGCCTTTTCTGTATACTTGAACTCAGCCAAATACTCATTTACTGTCTGAAAAATGGCAGATGGATTAGTATTCCTTGTCACTGGCCTACTGGGTTGCATAAAAGTTACGCTTGTAATAATTAAATAATAAATTTCAATTATTGCTGTTCAATATAGCGCTCTAAACAATTTAAAATATCCTTGATGCAGTTGGTCGACTTCATATGAAGAGTTACTTTCTACTGATGAACCTTTTGCAGAGCCAATACCTTTGCCTGTAAGATTCTATCTTTTGCATGAACATGCACACACCCATATGCCTATGAAAATCATGAAGTGATACTTATGATTAATGCAGCGAAATTTTTCTAAGGATAAAACTTGCATGCATTTTCTTAGATATTTACCGCAAGTTCTTTAACAAGAATCTGATATTTCAACTTTGTTGCATCCTTGACTCCTTTAAAAACGCAATCTTATGACATTTGCTAGAGATAGAAAGTCTGTTGCCTCGAGATTGAAGGAAAATTGGATGATTATAGACTGATGCCCTTAAGGCATTCCCGTAGCCTCACTAATTTATGTCATTGGAGATGGTTTTGTAGCTTTTGCCTGTCATTATATTATATCGTACGAGTAATTGAGGGAACCTGAAATCCTATCTGAATCTGTGCTCCATGATGTTAATTAGATGCATTGGTCATATATGCAGGAGATGGTAGATTTCTTAGTTGATATTTGGCATGACGACGGGCTGTTTGACTAAATTGTTCCAAGGTTTAAATAAATGACAACTGAAGCCAGAACTCTGTAAAGCCTTAAAACCTGCATTCATTTGCCACTCACTGGTCATAAGATAGGGATGCTATTGGGGATCATTTCGTTATCCTCCTGGTATAGGGGAAAAAAAGAACGATAAGGAAGGTCCTTAGTTCTCGTTGATTTAAGAGAAAAATCAGTAGATATCTTATTATTGCACCTTTGTAAGCCGTTCCTTATGAGGTTCCTCCATGTGTAATTTTTTTATCCCAGCCTTACAAATATCTGTTACCTATAATTATTTCATACAAGTACATTTAAAGTAATCATCCTGTCAATTTCTATGCTTCATTTTATTTCTTACCGTTTATTGTATGTTGTAAACCGACGAAACGGATGCAGGAATCTCTAGTTTCCTCACACTCGAGTAAACTGAGGTGTTAGGTTACTCACCGAAATAACTATTAAAAGTGGACAGATCAAATCGTATGTTGCTACTCACTGAGATTTCCAGCGACACTGAAGCATCTGATTACACCAGTTGGTACTACCAAAAATTGGATGAACCGACTGATGATATCACATTAATATTTGTCAGTGATGTCAGATGTCAGAACCATACTGGGTAGTTCGATTGCATGTTGTAAATCTTGTTTTCTTCATATACATGTGTGTAAATATAATTATAAATATTAAAAATCTTGTTTTATTTTGATATTCACTTGCGAATAATTTGTAATTTATGTTCTTGTGTTTAACCTGAGAGAAGCAAAGGTTTTAGATTAAAATTGAGTAATTTATTAGTCCTAAAATGTGAGGCTAATTGATGGGTATGTTTTGAAAATTGTGGGGCCGTTCTTCCAAGCTCTTGCTCCCCCCTCCCCCCCAAAAGTACAAGGTTATAGAAAAACCATGCAAGAGTCCACCAAATCTTGCTTTCTTGTGAAAGTCTTGGCTTTTATGTCTGTTGATGTCGTAGGAATTCTCTCTGGAACAACTCCTGGTTGGAAGAAATAGATTGATATGAGTTAGATTTGGAAATTTCTTCGTGGCAACAAAAGTTTCATCAATTTAGTTGATGATGGTATAACCGTTCTTTATTTAATCTTATTTTCAAAGCATCAATAAGGCTTCTGTTGAACCTTGATTTTGATGATTCAAAAAGTAAAGTTGTTATTTGTAGACAAGTGTTATTGGCAATTTTAAAAAAATAAAGTTTCTATGTTTAAAATCTTTTATTTTCTTTGTCCTTAATTCACTTTTATTTGTTTAGAGATAATTATTTGAATTATTTTTAGTTCTTGACTTGATTATAGCTTGAATTAAAGAGAATTAAATCTTATGTTGAAATTATTCTTGGACATACCAGTAGAACTCATTCCTACCAGTGTGACCAATTTCTACCTAAAGATGCGGGTTCTACCTAAATGTCTTACCTCATTCTTAGACTTCAGTGTTATTGGCATTTCTACCAATATGTTGGACTTCAACCATAATGTTCAATTTCTACCTAAATGTCTCACTTGATTTTCAACATATTTCTACTGGTATAACTAAGTTTTACCCAAAGTTTTAATTCCTACCCAAATAACTTTCGTCCTTTTGGTAGAAGTCTTCAAGAATTAATGTGTTTTACAATAAATCATTTTGGTATATCTCTCTTCTACCAATATGAAGCTCTTTAATATTTGTTTTAAAACCTTCATACTTATACTAGTATGTCTTCATTTCTACTAGTATATCTTTAAAGTTTTTTGTTCTGTTTTTCATTACTTGAATAGAGCATCTTGAAGCTCTTTTAAATTCTAATCATTTCAACTTTCAAGTCTTGTGTTTACCCTTTTTTATCATTCTATAATACTCTTAAACACAACTATAAATGAAATTAACATCTTATTCATTCCTTGATTTATTCTTTTTACATGTATGTCTTTGCTCTATCGGTATTACTTTCTTTTACCTTTTGTTAGAGCATTTAATACATATATCCCTTATTTTCCTTAAGGCACCAACAACATGCAAATCTGTCAAAAAACATTGTTTTGTTGCCTCAAACAATAAGAAACTTAGAAGAAATAAAGATGAAGTCTTCAATGGCAAACTTATGAGTCTAATGGATATATTTCAAGAATCATTTATAAATAAGACTCATTTATGAAATGGGAAAATACAAAAATTATGAAGGTAACTACATGTATTCATTCTTTGACAATTTTTTGATATTACATTCATTATTCTAAGAGTTTCATTAATTGTACATTTTCTCTAAAGATAAATTTTTTATTATAATAGTGATTTATTATTGAATTTACTCTGTTCATATATGTATTTTACGCCTGAAACAGAGTAGCTTAAGTTCGGGGAGTTTAAGGGGATTTGTAATCACTTTTCTAAGGGGAAGAGTTTCAAACTTAGAAGTCTGTATTGTATTAAGGCAACCAAGAGTCTGGTTTAATCTTAGTGGATTTAATAAGAAATCTCAAGGACATTTTGAGAATTGGACGTAAGTTCAAGTAGATAGAGTTAAATCAGAATAAACTCTATGTGCAAAGTATAACTCACAGGTTACCTTACTGGTCCTCCCCAATCTCCCACAAATCAATATGATCAATTATTTGACAAAATTACAATTGAAATAACCAAGTTTCCTAAATTTCAAATGGGAGAAATAATTTCACACTATTGCAAGTGGATATTTCAGGAATTCAACATTTGAAATACTCATATACACTTTCATATTTCTTAAATAAAAGCTTTAAAATAATGCAGAAGTTTGGGATTTAAATAATAATCAAATTATTTGATCTAAAACTCAGAGTTGTGAATTATGCAGAAATTGGCATATACGTTGCAGTTCACTGCAGATGCATTGCAGCTCATCAACTTCTGTGCCATGTGCTGTGGCGTATTGCACGATTATTTTAGGAACAAACTTCTGATGAGTCCTAAATCTCCGTCCGATATCCGATTGAGGTAATTTCAATGTCTATAGAGAGCTTTTTTTAGCTCTAGCTAATGGCATAAGTTTCACACTCAAATTCATTTTTTATAAAGAGTTGGACACCCAAACTTATTTTCACTTTTTTTTTCCACAATTTCACACAAATGGAGTGTCTAAACTTACACATAAGTGCCAATAGTTGTTCACCGTCAAGCGTTACCGCAAGCGTACGGGTCATCACAAATGTAGAATATTTTAAAGTTATCATTCCCACGAGGATTTTAGGTAAATAAGGGTTGAAGTTCACTATTGAGCTTTGAGATAGGTTGAGCCAACTTGACAGTATTTCTTCTTACTTAAAAGTAATAAAAATATGATTAAAATAATTTTAAAACAATTAAAACTTGTTAAAACTTTGACTTTTAGAAATGAGGAACTAGGATTATCCCTCCCCTTTGTATTTCATAGCACTTAAATTAATTCCTCTCTAATATATTTTTAATGAAAATAAGTGTTAGTTTTAAGATTCTAATTCACTTGAAGAAGTTTTCTCAAGTCAAAATCAAGTATATTTGAAAACACTAAAATTTTACAATCCCTTGAAAATAATTAGTGCGAACAAATTTTAAACACCAATTTTAATGAGACTATAAAGGGTTAATAAAATATTTCTATTTTACCAACATAACCATCCATTTATCTGTGTAAAATTTCAAGTCCAAAACTATTTTATCTGACACCTAAATTAGCTCTCTCAAGCACAACTCAAGTGAACAAAGCAATATAAATGGTGATCAAGTACTTAAAAGCATTAAGCATAGAATAAAATAAACACATATATATCATTAACTACCAAAAGAGAGGAATATTCAAGTATTAATCCATATAAAGGGTTGAAATAATCCTAGAACAAGGGAACTACCTACTCATGTTCAGAAAAGAGCCATAAATATTACAATATATAGCATCCATATCAGAAATAAAGAGAGAAAAGGGAAGAGAAGAAGAAAAACTGAAAGAATCCACTTGAATCTCTTCAAATCTTCAATCCTTAGCCAAATCTCCTTCAAGAACCCCAAACCCTAACAGAGCAAACCTCCAAGAATCTCTCCCAGTCGTGCTCTCCTTCTGCAGGCATGTTTATGCTTTTTCTACCCTAATTTTTTTCATTCTTAAGCTCAAACACACAGTAGAATTAAGGCCATGAGCCGCGGTGTGTTGACAGTGCGTCGTAGTACATATGGAAAAATGTGGATTTGCACCACAGCGTGTTGACAGTGCGCCGCGGCGCACATGCATATTCAGGACTCCAGTCTCTGTGCCACATACCGTGGCACACTGTGCATGCGCCGCGGCACATGACACAGAGTCTTTAATCTTTTGTTTTGACTTCCATTTTTTTGCTATTCTGCTTCTATATACATCTTCAATCATTGTTTGGCTCTATTTCTTTAAAAACATCTAACATAAATCACCTGAAATAATAAATAAGATTATGAGATCTTTTAAATTTTAAAATCAAAGCCAGTATCTTTGCAAAATTCTCAATAAACTTTATTTTCTATGTCAATTTGAAATGACGCTCATTTTCCTATATTTAACCCAAAATATTCACAATTGATGTAATTTAGCACATAAAGTGTAGGAAAATGCATTGAATTGGCATTAATTTCAATAGGTTATCAATAGTCTACAACAACTATCTGACTATACTCAATGAATCACATAGAACTCATGCAACACACCACAATCATTCAGATACTCATCATATATTTTCACCACTCAACCCTAATTTCACTAAAACACAAGGGTGAGGAAAAATTTGCACTAATTATCTATTTTCATTTCAAAACATCCCAAAATACATATAACACTACTTGTACAAGTATTTTGACCCTATACTAGATTTACAACCACAACACACTAATCCAAGGCACAAAATACACAAGATTTATACCGTGGTAATGCAATTAGAACAAAAATTGATGAATGAGTCCTAGTTGACAATTCAACAACATAAATACACATAAATAAAGGAAAGAGGCATACAAATAGGATTTAAACTGAAATACTAAGCCTCAGTACACTTTCCTTGATCTGGATTTGATGAGCTAAGCCCTGAAAATATTAAAAATTGAGGAGTAAGTATAACCACTCAATAATCAAGTTTTACCTAATCTATACAGTTGCATATTAATCAAAAACAAATGCAAATGGCAATAACTTCACAAATAATGCATGCATGACAATTATAGCTATGGTTCACAACAATAATAACCATGTGATCAGGCCTAAAACACATATAATCATATTTAGCAATAATGCAAATCATGAGGTCATAAAAATACCAATCATGCACCCCTAACACATGCCAAACCACAATAA